TTTCACTCTACGGTGGGTCAAAAAGATTGTAAACTTCTAGTTCAATGTCCTATATAAATTCATTGAGGCACGTAATCTGAAAAGAACCAATGTTGCCTACAACGATGACGGAACAAACAAAAAAAAAAAAAAAAAAAAAAAAAAAAAAAATTTATTCACTCAGCAGTACTTGAAAAGGCCCACTTAACGCGTCTTTATGGTATCAAAGATGACCATCTCATGTTCAAGCGACTAGGGATAGTTACTGTGTAAGGCATGTCACAGTAGAGGCCGGGCACATTATGAACGACATGGTCAGAAAAAGAGGACGGAAAGCTGAGACGGCTTGTTGATTTGTATGGCCGTGAGTGGACGAATATCGCCATAAAATTAAGCCTACACTCTTCGGAAGAATGCCACAGGCGGTTCCATCAATAGCTGAAACCAAGCATCCATCACGTCCCAGTCAATTCGTTTGTGACTGTTGAAACAGTGTTAGTGTCAAGACGATGGCCATTACTAGACTAATATTAGGCAGAAACTTAGAAGTTGCTGTAATAAGCATATCAAGAATTGGCCGTACTCTCGTCCTGGCGACTGATATCCCAGCCAAAGAATGCTTGACGGTGACAACGATGACAACGATGATATCGCCGAACAATGCAACGCATCTGGAAACCAGTTCATATCAACACCTCCTGGTTACAGTATATCACAAGACCTTGCCCAGAAACGTGAGGAAAGGCTCATCGAGCTTTGGGTGCCTGGAAGATAAAGGAAGCACTGGAAAGAGATCCGCGAATGAACATGGTGGCTATACTCAATCGGCCACGGACGAGTAAGCGATGATACTGGCCTGGTTAGAGCAGCGTAGCATAAATTGACAGCTTGTTCTGCTTTTTACGGTACAAACGTATTTGATGCTCGACGACTCTATATTAGGGGATTCAGATTCTTTCTACTCTATGCCCAGAGGTGGTGTTTCATACAATATTGTATATGTCCAATAGCATTTCTATTCTACGACCACCGTTTTCAACGTGGGTAGCTTTCGTAAACTTTCTATTTTGGGTACACTGGATTGGCATGTAAAAGAAAAAGTGAAAAAAAATAGTCGCACGGGTACAGCCCCTCACACTGTGCCGATGGAGACCAAATTATGCAACCCGGTTTCCAGTCCCCCAGGTGCAACGATACGGGCGCCGACAATCATCCTATTTCTAATGATCATGCTTTTGCATCGTCTATTGGAAGGACGTTGAGGCACCAAGTACTACTCCATATTTGTGAAGCTCGGGGAATACACATAGCTGACGAACATGGTCAAGATAACAGAGATTCAACTATCTGTAGAAGGACGATAAAAATTGGTTGTTTGACCTTGTATCAGTCATTATTGACTAGAAGCGGCCACCGTACAGCATCCACTACAAGGCACGCGCTCTTGCATTTGATTTCACGGTGCATCCCTGTCCCATATTTTTCTTTACCAATAGAATTAGCTATCAGCTATGTTTAGTTCAAAGAGAAAGGTAGATTGTGTCCCTTTTTTTTCGCATGGAAATTCAGCCTGTACTGTTTGCCCGCGCAAACATAAAAGAGACGTCTGACGGCAAACATCCAGTTGTCGTGCCCCAGAACATCCCCATTGCAAATGGCCACATCCAAGAGACCAATGAGGACCTTTCCAGCTTCGCGAAACTTATGCGAATTTCAATTGCCAGGTTACATCCGCAGACATCGTAGTTCAAGCGATGAACACAATTTAAAAGCGACCGCACTCCATAATAATTCGATTCCCCGTAGTGAAAAGCTTCTGAAGGCGCTGGAGATGTTTTGGCCGCCAAGAGTGTCTAATGTGTCACCGAAGCCTCGCCTGTGAATTACAGCTATAAGCTCACTTCGACGGCGGAGTAGATGATGGAAATCATCACGGAGATCCAGAATCAATTCAACTGTTACCACCCAAAAGGATACTTGCTGCAAAGTTGAGAAGTTATGGGTGTACTGTTACACTAGGCGTCATGATAGCCAAAGCTCGATTTAGCCAGAAACCTACTTTCATATGACATGACTTCTACTGCCGTGCTGTCTACTGGTTACTTGCATCGGCTAACTTCTGCAGAATAATTGGCTGCCGGCGGATGGACAGCGATCACAATACCTGACGTCGGATGAAATATGGAAGAGTAGAGCTGGGGAAGAAAGAAAAAAGAAAGCAGCCACTGATGGAGAGTCCATGCATTGAGACTTTGACAATAAATCCTAGCCACATTGTGTATGTCTTTAAACAAATATCCAAAACCAACGTCTCTTGGGCTTCACTCCAAAACACTTGGACCCCGCCAATAAGGCCTTTCTCTTCCTGTTAGTTGATTATTGTCACATGGAGTACGATTGGAATCTGAAAGAATCTATCATACGCAACCGACTAGCGGTGTAGATCGAAGACTGAGAAGATGTCATGTGAAGCACGCAACTGTGAAATCATGTTGTATCTATTACGTAGCGATAATGTATTTGCAAAAGGGTGGCGCCAGTCCTTAACATGATAAAGGACTAGATGTATTTTGAGGAGTTCTTGCATCAACACTAGCTGGAGATACATACTATGGAGATAAGTAAGAGTGAATTAAGTATGTCCATTACATAATTTAAATGAATGTCTGTCCCTATCTGTTTCCCGTTGCGGTATGGATTATGCTCATAAATAAGATAAAGACACAACTCTTCCCATCTATCAATGACTGAAGAGACTTCTTAATTGCGTAAAGCACCTCTGGGCCTTCAAGTACATCATTGGGCTGTTTACATTACGAGGCAACATGTGTTCTATCCATATCAACAGCAAACTCAGGTACCTTTTGCATATAATTTCTTTCCCAATTTTAGAGTTGAATACTATGAAAATATTTGATAAAAAGTATCATGATATGTCTTTAAGATCCCAGTGAAGTCTATCTATCTTCCAAATAAGTCTCATATTAAGAAGTACGATAGCTGTTCTTTCTCTATCAAACTTATTTCCATTATATCCCTAACATAGATCTTGCATTCTCCTACAATGAGCAGTCTTATTCATTTCTTGCTCTCTCTTATAAACTTAATATGCTGCGGAACTCTTGGTGTCGCCGAGAATGCCCACTTTAACGCAGCCAAGGATGCTTTAAGGCTTCCTCTGCAGTAATACGTTTTTTACTAGTTGTAAAGATTTGTCCCAGGAAGTCGCTACACTCAGCAGGGCAATCAATACGCTTAAGGGTATGCTATTTTGTTAGTTTAAGCGAAATCTTTGGAAGAGTCGCCATTGCTTACCTTGTAGTGTTCAATGCTTTGAGAACTATTTGTCGTAGTTGGTGAGTATTTCTCACCCAATGAGCCCGGAGCTCGTTGATAGATTAAGTCCAGAACTTCACATTCCTCCGTTTCCTAAAGGAAATTAGTGCCAGTCAAGAGACGAAAGATCATGCATCCTATGCTCCAAATATCACAAGCGTATGACCATTGTTTACCCCGGAAGACTTCCGGGGCTGTATAACAGTATGGAGTAAGCGCTTCGTAATAACCGAAATTTTTGAAAACGGCACAATGAAAGCCGACTATCTGAATCTGGGCACTCAGCAGGGAACTAGGTTTCGTCCCCTGATGATTTGTGCCGGTTGCAGACGAAACGACCTTGATCTCGGGGCTAAGAGACTGAGGACAAAGCAAGACATTTCTAGGACTAAGACTAGTATGTACTATGCCAATCTTATGTAGGACTGAGCCTTGTTAGTATGGTTGCAACAGAGGGTAAGTTTCTATACCCACAGGCAACACTTTTAAAAAGCTGTCGGATGAAACTCCGGATTTCACCATGATTAAAGCGGGGTCTGCGATGCAGTAACGTTGACAAACTATCAAACCGATTTTCCTCTATAGCGCAAATGTGGCCATTATAACAGAAGCAATCCCATAGCCATTGGCATCGACTAAGGTTCTTGGGGTCATTCACCTTGATAGTTTGGAGAACACGAAGGTAATCCAATATTTCATCAGTATACGGTTGTCCTTGACGACTTATCACCATAGGCACAATATCTTGAATTTTCTCGTCTTTGACATAGACAACAGTGGAGCTATGCCGTTTTTCCATAATTCTGTCAATGATTTGAACTAGTATTCAATTAGAAATTGGCCTGGTACAGAATACTAGTTGTGGCATTACTTACACCTCGGTATGAGTTTGTCCCCCGGGGCTACAATCAGATATCCGTCTCCATCAGTGTAAAGGGGCTCCTGTTCCAAGTAGTTAGTAATTTCTGATATGACTTCTCATTTTGATTAATCAGGGGTTTATAGTTACCTTCAAGACTATGCTTCTAACATCGGGCTCCAGCGGTGGTTTATCTTTAAAAAAGAAACGATACTGGCAATAAACTTCTGAAAGCCATTCAGAGCTACGAATCTTAAGTTTGCGGTCTTTGGCCCATTCCCGGTCCCCATCAATGATTTCTCCAAGTCCTGTTTGAGGGGTTCCATCACGTCCTACCAAAAGTATGTCAGTTACGTTGTTCGTCCTCTTAGCACTTAAAGTGCCACCAAGCGTCGTGATTAATTCCTCCACTTTAACCCAGTCTCCTTTGTACCTATGTTCTGAAGGGAAACCTTTTCCCATGAAGAACTCTCGGCCTGAGCAAGGTGGAAGTCTACGGCGATAAAAATCAACCGGCATGGCGAGTGTTATGATACCGTCAGGTAATTATGGAAAATTCGATGCAGGCAACTATTTAGCTCATTATATAAAGGTGAAATTAGACTGCCTTACATTTCTTACTTATTTCTTAGCATAGGTTATATCTATAGTTAGGATGTAACATTAGCTAGAGCCTATATTGAGAACTTTCTCAACATTTACGACATGGAAAAGAGCTCTAACTAAGTATACATCTCAATGTTCCCACGTTTCACGAGTTATTTGGGCCTAGGGTTTGTTATACCGGGAGGGGTTAGTGAAGGTGCACCAATATGCACGGCTTGAGTCCTGACCATCAGTTAGCCCTCGTCTTTTCTTGCAGAAACTTGGTAAATTGTGTAGTATCTCCTGTATACCTCTACTCTCCATCTCTAGGTTCTATTAATTTCTAGCTGAGGCTTTTACTGCCAAAGACTATCCAAGAATATCCCTTGCCAAACACTCAAAGCCTGTGACGCAGCTATGTGTATAATGCTGTTAAAACATTTATCCCAAATAAGCCAATACTAATACTTATTAACTTAGGCAATTATGCCCAATCAAAGGGCTGCCATTGATTTATATGCACCGGGGACAGTACTGTAGGATTTTCATATAAACTGACGCCATGTGTGTATCAAGGCGACCGCCTTTTGATCTTTACCAATAACAGTCCCTCGCTCGATTCAAAAGCAATAATAATAACCTGGTGACTGATAATATCCTGGCAAGCTATAACCTGTCACTTAATGATTTATATTAATGGTAAAAAGGCGGCCGATTGGAACTCCTTGGTTATGTCTCGCATGCGGCTTACAAAAGAACCCCAGCACGGAATATGAATACTTAGAGCTTCTCTTTACCATATTCTAGTTGAAAGTAAGAAGTACAAAATCTGAGAACTATTTAGGACTTCTCCTTTGCAGTTCATATTATTCAAGCATACAGCATTACCTCTTGCCACTAAACCATGTAACGTGGTTGATAAGCATGCGACGCAGATAAGCATGCGACGCACTTTTCCCTCTTACATCATAGATTTTATCTGACCAGATATTTCTCAACCATTAACAATGTCACAATCTTCAAATGAAGCCAGAACCCTCCTTGCCCTTCAGGCCCTTCAAAATGACCCAAAATTAAGTACCCGACGCGCTGCAAAGATATACGAGATCTCTGAGCCTAGGCTACGTCGCCGTAGAAATGGCATTCAATCGCGACGCTATTTTATCCCGAAATCGCGGAAACTATCCGATCTAGAAGAGCAGATAATAGTCCAATTCATTCTTGACCTAGATTCGCGAGGGTTTCCCTCGCGACTGCGCTTTGTGGAAGAAATGGCCAATTCTCTTCTTGCTGACCGCGACGCGTCACCTGTTGGCAAGCGCTGGGCTCATAACTTCGTCAAGCGACAACCAGAGCTAAAGACGCGTTTATTTCGGAAATACGACTATCAGAGAGCCAAATGCGAAGATCTATCTATTATTCGTGGCTGGTTTAGGCTTATACAGAACACAATCGCGAAGTACGGTATCAGATCAGATGATATCTGGAACTTTGATGAGACTGGCTTTATGATGGGCGCTATTATGGCTGGAATGGTCGTTACAGGTTCGGAAAGGCAAGGAAGGCCAAAATCAGTACAGCCTGGAAACCGGGAATGGATTACAGTGATCCAGGCGATCAATGCGGAAGGTCAATCGATCGCGCCGTTCATCATTGGTGCAGGCCAATATCACCTTGCGAATTGGTACCGAGAATGCAACCTCCCAGGCGATTGGGTTATTGCAACGACCCAAAATGGATGGACAAATAACGAGCTAGGTCTCGATTGGCTAAAGCACTTTGATCGGTCTACAACTAACCGATCAACTGGTCCCTATCGTCTTCTGATCCTTGACGGTCACGAAAGCCACCACTCGGCCGATTTTGAGAGATATTGTGAGGAGAATAAGATTGTCACACTTTGCATGCCTGCTCATGCATCTCACCTACTGCAGACTCTTGACGTTGGGTGCTTTGGGCCGCTGAAAAAGGCATATGGTCGAGAAATAGAGTATCTGATCAGATGCTCTATAACTCACATTTCGAAGACCGAGTTCTTTCCCGCCTTTTACGCCGCTTTTAAAGCTACTTTTACAAAAAGTAATATCCAGGGAGGTTTTAAAGGAGCCGGGCTTGCTCCTTTCGACCCGGAAAATGTTATCTCAAAGCTTGATGTGCAGTTACGGACTCCAACGCCTCCTCAGGAGGCTGCTGAACCTTCGACCCCTTGGGTTTCAAAGACCCCAAAGACGGCAATTGAGGCCCAATCTCAGTCTGAATACCTTGAAAAACGAATTAAACGACATAAAAGTAGCTCCCCAGAGTCAATTATTGAAGCTTTAAAGTCTAATACTAAAGCAACAAAGGCAGTTATGCATGAGGTTACATTATTAAGGGCTGAGGTCCGAAACCTTCGAGATGCAAATGAGATACTAAGCCGGCGCCGGAGGGCAAAACGGACTAGATTACAGAAAGGAGGGGCCATGACTGTAGAGGATGCATCACAAGTAATTGATCAGATGGATGTTGATACACAGGTAGTGGCCGAATCATGTAGAGGTGGTGGTCGGGCCCGGTCAGAGCGACCGGCTGGTCGGCGTTGTGGTGTATGCGGCAAGGCCGGGCATAATGCAAGGACCTGTCAGGTAGTAATTGAGACATTCAGGGAAGAGTATAGTAAGTAGTTTTAATTGATTAGATAGTTTGTGGTGGATTTAAAGCAAGTTCTAGCTTAAAGGGTAAGAAGAGTGCGTCGCATGCTTATCTGCGTCGCATGCTTATCAACCACGTTACCCTTTTGTTAGTAATATAAAGTCTAATAATAGACCTGGTAAATGCCTGCGGCATATTAGAGACTTAATTTTAGGTTATTTTACAGGGCATAAAGTGTAAGAAGGATCTTAGCCTTAATATTTAGGTCTAATATATTTGATGGTTAAAAATTAATTAGTTAAGTTAAGAAGATATAAATTGCGGGATTTTTTGTTGTACTTGCTTGTCTGTTGCACCTGCTTATTATATATGTTATGTTAAATTTATTTAAAAGAAGTCTTTAAAAGTGCATACCATCGCATAGCTATAGCCTTACTATTAAAATTCATCTAATGTCTTGCATAATCTACCCTCCTTACCATCTGGGAATATATAAATACCCCCCAGTGTGCTAATATCCTCTAACTACTAGAACAGGGTCTATAGCATTTTTCTATAATAAAGGTTAAGCCACGCAGCTTATATCTAGCCCACGTTAAACACCTAGTTCTCAAGGTATTCGGCTGGGACCTGGTCTTTTGCTGGGTTAAAGAGGAAAATATCATTAATACTATAATTAGCTCTTTTATAGCCTAATAACCAGTTCTTATATAGGTTTATAGCTTAAATTTCATAGAGAAGTATATATGCCGCATTAGTGGCATTGCTGTGCGCATTCTGATGCTTCTTAATGACCGCTGCTGTATAGATTAGTAGAGTACGGAATGCAACATCCGCCATTAAGCCCGCCAGGTCCTCAAAAGAGTCTAAGCAAGATTTCTCTCGTCTTAGACTATACACCTAGGCAACTGCAGGTATGCAGAAAGGACTGTCGCCAGAGTTCAATAAGTAGCCACAGCGCTGCCTGCAAGTACCTCCTGCGCAGTCGGGAGTATCCTTTGCTGGTCAGCCCCCCCCCGGTGGTCGCTGCCGCTCCCACGGTAATGCCGGATTAGAGGCCCCATAAGTACCTCTTAATTCACAACTTCGCAGACCACATTGGATGATTATTTCAGGATACGAACTGTAAAAAACTTTAACCATCGTGTCTCAAGGTGCTGGTGAACGCTATTTGGCTGCACCAGTTGATCTTGCCTCTGCCTTTCGAAGAAACCATAAAAGCCTTTTTCTTAAAGTTGGCAAGATAGTTTACTACCTAACTGCCGAAGTGCCTACAGTGGGGGGCAATAAGTTTGAATCCAAACTGAAGTCTATTAACCAGCTGGGGACTCTCTGGGCTAGTCCTAATAAGACACTGTTTGCCAAATAGAGGAATAGACTTACCAAGTATGGAAGCTATAGAGCTCTATTAAGTCTAAAGGTAGTGAAAGCTTCTTACTTAAATCAGCTAGTCATAGGGCGACAACTTCAGTTTGGATTCAAACTTATTGCCCCCCACTGTATAGGTTACCAGGTAAAACTTTATTAACCGTTCTGTATATAAAAGTTAGGCCAAGTTAGGCCAGGGGCAAACTGCCGACCTTACTAGGACCGGGGGGGTGGCTGAGCATCTCGTCTAAATATAGAATAGCATTTAGCTACTCTGTACTTTGGCTGGATCTACTGCAATGAACTTTTTCAACACCCCCTTGTTCTCGTCACATTTTTAACACAACATAGGATTTTATAGTGTATTTAGATTCGCACAATTCCCCCATAATCTAAATACGAGTTGTTAGATTCAATCTTTCTTGCTAAGTTGATCATGCACACGCCCTCCCGTGGGACGTGATAGGATGCCAACCACAGCTTCTTTAGCCTAGGCTGTAGCTCCCTATAGCTTATGCTACAATTCTGAGCGTAGGCTGTAGACCTCAGTATAGGCAGCAGGCTATGGTGCAACCTTTTGTGTTTAAGTAGCTAGCATCCATCACACTAAATGCACTTCATGCTGGCACCAGTCCTTCACCCTGCCGGATATCTTTGAATTCCGCGGTCTGTGTTGGAGAAGTGGCATGGATGATAGTGTTGCATAGGCAGCCACAGGAAACGGGTGTCGCGCGATTACGCGTGAATCGTCAGAACAGTGTTACAGGTCTGTTGCAGGGTCAGCAGGTCTAGTATCATAGCCTCGCCTCTTTAGCGATAAGAAGGAGGAGAGCAAGAACAACCATGATGAGAAAGAGACAGAAGACAATCATTCCGATCATCATTAGATTATTAGTTACCTAGTGAGAGCGCGCTGTCTGACAGTCTGCTGCCTCGACTCTCAATATATAATTATGATTTCGTCTTCAAAAATTATCACTGATACCCTTAGTCGATCACAGACTAGAGTATCACCCGATGATCTGCCCTTCGAATCATCTAGCTTCGACGCCATTTTCCGCACCACTCATCCAGAGAAGGCCAAACTAGGCCCATCTGGCAAACGAAAGACATCTGGTCGTGTTATGTATGAATGCCTTCATTGTCCCCCAGATAGTCCATAGTCAAATGGAAAGCGTAGCAATGCCATTTACCACGCGAAAAGGAAACATGCCTCTATTCTTCAGACGGAGGCCAGTACCGTAGACGAGCACGACTCGGATATTATTACCCGGCCATCAAAGCAGCCGCGGATGGACAGTTTCTTTCCGAGTCGGCCATCAGATACCACTTTACGCCGCGTCCTTAACCGACAGCAATATATAGAATCGATTGTCGATCTTCTTACACGCCGTCGTTTACCATTCTCCGCGGTGAAATGGGATGAGATGCAGGATATCATATTGGCATGCAATCCGGCTATTGAGGATCTTCTCCTCACGTCCCGCGACGCAGCTATGCGTCATATTACCACTACCTTCGACTTATACCGATCTCAATTGAAAGCAAAGCTTCAGGCGTCCGTATCGAAGATCCATCTCTCGACCGATCTCTGGACATCGCCTCATCGGCATGGCATTTTAGCAGTATGCGTTAGATGGGTTGATAATGGCTATCGACTTCAAAAGGCCCTGCTAGCTATGCCTGAATGCCGATACAGCCACAGTGGCGAACGCCAAGCAACTCTAATGGCGGAAGCAATCGAAGAATACGGTATTGCGAAGCAAATCGGCTATCATACCGGCGATAATGCTACTTCAAACGATACCTGTTTAAAGCATCTCTCTCAAATGCTACAGGATAAATACGGTGTATGTGATTTAGAACGTTGATTACGGTAATAGGTAGTTGGTTAACGGGGTCTGGATATCTTTCCGTCCCAACCGGCGCCGAATCCGATGCATCGCTCATATCATAAATCTCTCCCTTCAAGCCTTCCTCCTTGCGTCCTCGAAAGAAGCTTTACGCGCAGCACTTGCCGCTGCCAGCGACGTAACCGGCGCCGAGATGTACGAACAGTTCTACTTTACACTCTATGATGTATCCGCCAATGAGCCAACATCGCGGTCTGAAGCTTCGGAACAGCAAGAACAGTCTTTCAGTAAGGTATGGAAGGGAAAGGCTAAAAGGGCCGCTCGGAAGCCCCCCGATTTCAGGGATGACAAATTCAGAGGCTGGCAAACCATCCCGGCGATGCGTAAACTACATAACATTGCAGTCTGGCTTCGAAATTCATCTATCCACAGTGATCTATGGGAGGATCGAGTAAGCTTGCGGCTTGGGATCGATAACGACACCCGATGGAACTCTTGGTATAAGCTGATCGATAATCTTATCCGAAGACAATCACAGATCAAGCAATTCTTGCTTGATTACGATAAGGAGATCAACGATAATATCCTCAACTCATCAGATTGGGATTACCTTGAAAGAACACATAGATTTCTCCACCCATTCGCGTCGGCAACTTTATGGGCTGAGGGTAAGAATTCTACATTGTCGCAAATATTGACAATTATGGATGGTTTATTACGCCACTATGAAAAGAACAAGGTATGCTGTCACTTGATAGGCTCTAAACCCTAACTTGGCTAATTATCCAATCTAGGAACATTACTCGAAGCCGGAGACGTTTGATCGCCGCATCCTTCATTCAATTGAGATGGGCTGGTTCATTCTCGACAAGTATTATACTATGACCGAAGATGCGCCTGTTTACGCTGCCGCCCTCCTTCTTGATCCCTCAAAGCGAATCAGGTACATTGAGCGCCACTGGCCAGAGTCATGGCACGAGAACGCCATTGCTGGTGTCCGTACAATTTGGGAAGAGTACAAAACTCAGCCTGAGACTGGACCTGCAGAGTCGGTTGATGAGGTATCTGCTTCGCAAAAGCGGCAGCCGAATGAGTGGGACGCTCTACTTGAAGAGTTGGAAGTCACCGAGGATCTGGGTGATAGTATGGACGATCTTGAAGACTTTATAAAGGCAACACCCATCAAAATAAGTGGGTCACCACTTCAATGGTGGTGTAATAAGGACCAGCGGAAGACTTATCCTCAGCTAAGTCGAATGGCTATTGATATCCTCTCGATCGCGCCTGAATCAGCTGATCCGGAATCTGCTTTCTCTGGTGGTCGACGCACTCTCTCCTGGGATAGAGAACGAATGACTTGCGAGAATCTTGAGAAGGTTGAATGTATAGGCAACTGGCTGCGTGAAGGGCATATCCAGAAGGCTGTTCATGGTGGTATGGGTGTAATTACTGATACGGGTTTTGATAGTGGCGGTGGTGAAGACTCCGATGTTAATTTTGATTGATTTGCGGATATCTGACAGTATAGGTGCTGCAGTGCTATGGAGATATCAATTGTGCTAAAGTGCTAGGGTGATATTCTAGCACACCTTTTGCGAATATGTGAATATGAATATGAATATCACTTTAGCGCGTGATATCACAATACGCAAGTCTGGTGGTGAGGATGGTGTCTGAGCCATCCGCCTGGGACCGGGTGAAACACCAATGGTGCCGTTCACGGCCGCAGTCAGATTGGCGGGGGTGTGGATCCCCAGATCGAAGGGGTCCGGAGCAGCGGGCGGGTTCGTCGTAGACGAAGCCATCGCCGCACCTTGCGGCTGCGCAAAGCGCAAATTGAGGCGTCTGTTGTGCACTTGTTAAGGATTTAGGTGTAGACAAGGCCACTTTCTTAACATTTGTATGCCAAGAGAGTGTGATGACAAAGGAAGGTGT